TGTGTGGTTGTGGTGAGAGAGAGAGAGATCTAGAGAAAGAGAGAGTAAATGTAATAGTGCGTTTGTATGTGTGTGTGTGTAATGTGTGAATGTTATTGTGTGCATGAGTGTCTATCTCAGTTGTACGGTCCAAATGTACATTATTTTGTTGAGAATTTTACATAGAACTCAACTACAAAACACCTTTATACAAAGTCACAGAAATATTCTTTTTGTGCTTATTGAGGTACGGTACAGGGTGATTTTACCTGCAAAGATAATTGGACAAAATGAGCAATATCTTTATTGTTAATGTTCATATTTAGACAAATCCTATATCATTCTCTTTTTTTTTTTCTTAACTGCTCATGGTTATTAAAGAGTAAGCCAACTAGATCCAGGTACGCGTGTAGTAATTTCGGATTCCTAATATTATGGGCATTCTTTTAAAAAAATTAACTTGTTTTTAGCGCTTTTCTCAACGTAAAACGGATTCCGTTTTTAAAAAAAACAACCAATAACCTTATCTTTTTTTCTCAAAGTATTGTGCATACATTTGTGTGAAACTATTCTATGCTTTCAAGTACATGAAAAAGCTAATAAAGTCAAGAAAAATGTTCTTCAGAGACATATATCTAGTAGTAGGCCCACTGGAACATTATATAAACCGTGAAAAGATTACCAGAAAATAACAAAATTATCTTATGATCTTCACTTGCACTTGCAATTTTTTTGACAAATTATATTCTACCTCATTATCTTTTTTTCCCCCACATTTTTCTTCACTAAATATGACAACTGGCATGTATTGTTTTCAGTTATTATCAAGGAAGTGGATAGGCGGACCACGGGGTCTATCAAGCCAAAAGGATAGGTGGACCCCGGGTCTACCTAACAAAATGCTAGGTTTTAGGGTGTGAATCCCGGAGTCAGCGTAGGGAAATAAGTAGATCTAGGTTTAACTAAGGATCGGTGGACCCCGGTGTCAACATAGTGAAATAAGTAGATCTCAGTTTATTTTATAGTAGGACTGACGGAGCCCGTGGTCAACGTAGTGAAATTATAAGTAGATCTAGGTTTAATTAAGGATTGATGGACCCCGGGGTTAACGTAGTGATCTAGGTTTAATTAAGGATTGGTGGACCCTGGGGTCAACGTAGTGAAATAAGTACATGTAGATCTAGGTTTAATTTTAAGGATTGGTAGTCCCTGGAGTCAACGTAGAGAAACAGGTAGGTTTAAGGTGGACCCCGGGGTCTACCTAACGAAATGCTAGTTAGGTTTTAGAATAGGTGGACCCTGTGGTCACCGTAGTAAAATAAGTAGGTTTAATCAAGGTGTACCGGGGGTCCACCAATCCTTAATTAAACCTTCTTATTCCTCTACGGCTATGGTGACTCCGGGGTCCACCAATCCTTTTAAAATTAAACCTACTTATTTCACTACGGTGACCCCGGGGTCCACCAATCTTTAAAGAAACCTACTTATTTCACTACGGTGACCCCGGGGTCCACCTGTCCTAAAACCTAGTATTTCGCTAGGTAGACTCCGGGGTCCACCTTAAACCTGCTTATTTATCACTACGTTGACCCCGGGGTCCACCAATCCTTACTTAAACTTAAACCAAACCTATTTCACTACGGTGACTCCGGGGTTCACATCCTAAAACCTAGTATTTCGCTATGCAGACCCACTGACCTAAAAAGATATGGACTGCGCGCGCCGTGGAAAACCCGTAACTAACCGGCCGCCATCTTGCATAGGCCAATCTGCAAGCGCCGCACGCTCAGTAGTGAGAATATATTTAATGGACTTTATAAGAGGCACTGCGAGGGGGTTGAGGCAAAAAACAACAACAAACGGGCCTAAACGTCTTTGTAAACAGATATATTGGGATGAGACCACTTTGACAAGTGGTTTAGATATTTAGATATTTGGTATCGATGTGCAAGAAAATAAAAGGATTTATTCACAATATATGACTAGTGAATAGGATCATGTCTAACTCTAACAGAGAGATAAAGAGAGAGAAAGATGGGTAACATGGCTACAGTCAAGATGGAAAGCATTAACGAAACACAAGAAAACGAAGATAATTAAGCTGTGCAATTTGGGGGGGGGGGTGGTGTTTGGGTTTATTGTTATAATTAGTAAGTGTTTTACGTCGCTCGCATATATATGACTTCTATGAGCGCCCGGGACCCACCAATAGTTTTCAGTTGGTAGGAAATTTTGATTTTTGCTCGGGTTGCAGCTGAGGCCTACTCTTCTTTTTTATTTTGGACCACCAAGGGATCTTTAACGTGTGCTTGCACACAGGACCTCCGAGATTTTTGGCCCTTGTCCGAGAAGGCTAGGTGTAGTGTGGATCTTACCTACTACAAGATCTGGGGTTTGGCTGAAAGACAGCAGTAAGACGGAGCCAAGAAGAAGCAGTAGAAAAGACTAGAAAGTTTCATGAGCCAAAAAGAGGTAAGGGGGCAGAAAGTGGAGATGAAAGCAGACGACAACACGTTGTTAGAGAGCAGGAAAGAATGAGAGAGGAGAAAATTTTGTCGCTACCCAGATTCGAACCCGGGACCTATTGAATGAGAGGCGAACACCATATAACCTCTGAGGCGACGAGAACCCCATTGTAACAGTCTAAGTCTAAGTCAAAATGGCAACGCAGACTCTGAGGAGCAAGTAAAGAAGAAAAGAAAGAAGAAGAAAAGAATAACCGTGAACATGTTTAACTCTTTGTCATCTTCAGCAGATTTTTATTCAGAAAGACAATGATCACAATGCATGTACCAACAATATTCACGCACGCGACACACACTCACACACACACAGCCACACCCACCCACACAATAAGATATGAGCAACATAACATGTATGATGTAGAAGATATGCACAAAATAACAATCAATAATTGAACCACAGCGAGTATCGCCAAGCTTTTCACTTCAGCACGCATAAATGCATGTACGAACAATATTCACGAACACGACACACACACACACACACACACACACACACACACACACACACACACACACATACACATACACACACACACACACACACACACATCTACTTGCTTATCACACGCGCACACTCACACATCGTTACAAAATGAGCACATACACATACATAATAAAAACTAGCTGAGCACCCAGCTTTGCTCGGGGTCACACACACACACACACACACACACACACACACACACAATCAGAAATAGAGTGAAACACACCATAATAATAATAATGAAGATCATTTCTAGAACGCCCACTCCCGTGTAAACACAGCTCTAGGCGCTTATATAAATGCATGTACGAACAATATTCACGCACGCCACACACACACAATGAGAGCCACAGCGAGTATCGCCAAGTTTTTCAGCACGCATAAATGCATGTATGAACAATATTCACGCACGCGACACACACACCAACGCACCAACGTCTATTTGCTTATATCACACGCGCACGCTTACACATCGTTACAAAATGAGCACATACACATACAGTCGCATAACTGTGGTCGTCACTGATGACTGAAGATGGACCCACACTCTCTCCAGCCTCCTCTTGATCAGCACTGGGAGTAGTTTCTGGCTGAGCCACGGTTCTGCGTTCAGCATGACGCCTTGGCGTTACAGTACAGGTGTCTGCAAACAAACAATTTTAAATGTGTATAGGGGCTGTTCAAATAATATAATCTTACATCTTTTTGGGGACTTTTTGGGGGAAATTAGCGAGAAAATGGCCACCAAAGTTTGGTAACTTCCATAGCTTGAGTACTTGCAAAATGAAAATTTTAATTTTTTTGTGTGCCTTTAATCAATGCTTTTCTGCAAAATCCACACCCAAATGTGTTTTAAAATCGACATAAAAGGTGCTGAGCCAAAAAAAATAATTGAAATTTGGGGGGGGGGGGGGGGCATTTCCAAACAGGCCATAAAATGCTTATTTCTCGGATTTCACTAGTTCGCTTTATATTATAGCAATAATAATACGTGTCACGGCGTGGTGGAATTAGGCGCCCGTCAATTTTTGCGCATATAATGGAGTTATAGGTATCATCATAAAGCCTGTCGACTTGCCTTGCTTTCGATGAAAAAAATATGCCAATTATCTCGGATACAAAGTCGAGATTTCTGCGATTAAACTTTAGTAATTAGTTATTTCCTTAGCTCGAGAGTCCATGGAAACTTATAATTTACATCTTTTATGCCTTTAATCAACATTTTTCAGTAAAATCCACACAGAAATATTTCATGTTCTTTAATGGGCATGCATGAAAGGTGTTGAGCCAAAAAACAAAAACTCAAAAAAAAATTCTCAAATCGGAGGAAAAATGTCAGTTTCTTCTCTTTCATTATTTTGACGGGCGCCTGATTTCACCACCCTGACTCACATATTCATATCGCGCAAATCCCTGTTACAATCATTGTTCTTTGCGCTTTACATAATATTCAGGAAAAATATATGCATTCATACATGGTACATGCACATAATATATCAATGTCCCCCTGGTCACACCCCGTAAGCGCCAGAGAGATAATTTTCCAGGAGAAGGAAAAAACTGATTTACTAAATGTTAAAACGTTTATCAAACTTCAATTTCGCTTAAAACCATTCAATACGATGTAACTAAATCAGGGTTAGTTACTTTTTAAGACGTAAAAAAACCAAGGAACCAAGAACAGGGAAAAAAATAATCCTGAATGCGTATACCGTTCACATCGGTGTACGGGTAGATCTAAGTCCAAAACACAACGAAAATTGGGCCGATTAGGCAGAGTATAGATTGATGAATTTACACAAACGAATATTACGCCAAGATTTCACTTTATATTTGGCAATTATCAAACAACTAAACCTATGCTCCTAAATTTCCATAATGTATGAATTTTTTTCCGATTATAAAGATCGAGACATGAGCTTTAATATAATTTATCCAATTACTATATGTAAACTGGCCCTCCCTCCCTGCATCATTAGTATGAACTGAACAACCAAGTTGACGTGACCTTTCCGGGGGGGGGGGGGGGGCGAACAGTTAAATATGTCGACCAATGAGATGGCACACGACCATGATCATGCACTCTCAGCTTACACTCTCATAACTCACTTAATAGACTAGTCTGAATAAATAAAACATTTTTCTGATCCGAGTCTGAACAGATAAAACCCATTTTCAGACTCGAGTCCGAATAAATAAAATGTCTGATCGAATTCGAGTCCTAAATAGAACTAGGTGGCCTTTAGAAATAGTGTTTCTCATTGAAGCAGAGAGCATACCTTCTGGAGATGGGGTGGAAAATCGAACAGGGTGGGCGCAGCATCAGGTCTCAATCGAACAGTCTGGTCTGTTCTGTCAAAGCACTTGTCATCGAAGTGAGCATAGCAAATCACTGTATTCCTGGTGGGCTGAAAATCCTTCCCTCCTCAGGCTTGCCAACCACCTCTTTGATCTGTCTGGATCTCCAAGTGGGAACCTGGAAGCAAATGTATGTATGTGTTCACTTTTATGTGTACATCCAACATTTAAGTTAATAAACGTGTCACAGCATGGTGGAATCAGGCGCTCGTCGATTTTCGGAATAAAACAACGTCATGGGAATCAAATCCTAGGAGGTTTATCAAGAGCTATTCGCAGCTTTTCAAATAGCATGGGAGCTATTCAGAACGCGGCGTTACAAATAGCACCTGGAAAACAAAATTTCGATTAAAATTAAAATTACCAAACAGGCAGAAAAATGCCAGGTTCTTCAATATGATAATTATGACGAGTGCCTGATTTCGCCACGATGCCTCACAAAGTATTGTTTCACTAGTGTGTGACATTTTGCGTCTTGACAGAGGGTCAGTAAGGCACCTTTTGGTTTCGTCTGAAATACAAATTTATACAGGCATTGCAAGCTCAAATTCATTTACAATTCAGCCATCCTTATTAAATACGGCTAGCCTAGCAGTCTAGCCGTCATAAAGTACGCTAGCCTCTTCCATTTAAAAGGAAAAAGGAGATTAATTGAATGATATGATATTTATTTCTTTCACAAACGAAAAAGAGGGTTATAATTAAAAAAGCGGTGTAGAATTAAATATTACCGAACTTTTGGGTATTGATCGGCCAATTGAGGAATCTTTGTCCTACTTTTGCCGATCCGATTGGCCACTCATTGCGCATGACAGCCTAATTTTCCTTAAGCACTAGAATCTAGATTCTAGGGGAAGATTGAAGAATACCGGACCACTCGTATACATTATCTGTAAATCACAGTGGACCCAGAAAAATCTGAAAGGCAGAATATTGAACACTTGTGGCGCAATCTGACAGGGTGGATAAAGGCTCCATGCCATCAGAAATCACAAGCTCATCACTTTGTTAGGGAAGGCCTACTACACTGTTGCTCATGTAGGTGCAGAGCTCTCATTCATAGGCCAGAAATTGCCACGAAATAGAAGAAGGTCAGTGCAAAAGATTTCTAGAGTAGAGATCTGGATCTAGAATCTAAGATAGCCTGTACACATTTATAATAACACACATACAACAGTAGACTACACACACATACACAACAGTAGTAGGAGGGCAATAGGCCTCAAAAGTTTTACTTACTTGTGAAAAGTATAGCCTTTCTTCCTTTCCTCGGTGTTCTTCGCCTAGAACACTTCCAAGCAGTGCACCCGGGCATCTTAGACGTGCAAAAATAATAATTTAGAAGACGAAAACAGCACAGTGAGTGCCTGAGGCTAAAGAGGCCAGTGGAAAGTGAACTGGTAACTTCGCCAGTCAGCTGTGACCTGGCCTTTCCAATGTGGCGGCTGGGGCACTCCCGCCAGTCAACAGGGTAGCGCTCTTAAAGCCTGTATTGAAAACGAGGCGCGCGCAGTCCATATAGTTTTTGGTCAGTGATGCAGACCCCAGAGTCCACCTATCCTTTACAGGACTATACTATTATCAATTTTCAATTTTCATTGATTAGCATTTTTAAAAAAAATTGAATCAGAGACTCGCTGTCTAAAAAGTCCACTGGCTATTCTTATCAAAGAAAATAGTACAATTTGATTTTATGACATGTTAAAAAAAGAGTTTTAAAAATATCCAGAAAATAACGTAAAACGATGATATATATA